ACACGCACCTATGCGCTCATATAAAAACAGTTAAGATTGATAAGCGAATAAATAACAAGGTCAGAATGTAACTCAAGTAGAATGAATAGAATGGGCTGTCCGAAAGCAAGAATAAAGTTTATGGGCTTAACATAATAATTGACACTAAACCGTTTGCTTCAAACACCATCGCACTATCTACTATACTGATGAGACCTGATAGCCACTTGCTTGTACAACTGGGTGAAGTTTAAATTCGCTCAGTTTAATTGAATCTTTCCATTCTTATTTAGAACCGCAACTGATCAGTATCTTGTTGACATATGTACGTGCTGTGTGTATTGCCTCGAAACTTCTTTTAATAACAAGCATTGTAAACAAAGGTTGGCAGTGGATAGTAGTGGAATCCAGTGCGAGCGATTTTAAACCTCAAAGGGAAGATTCAAGTATATAAAATCAAGTGAATTTGCTTCAAATACTGGTTACAAACTAACCATTATATCACTTATTATTATTATTTATTATTTAAACACATAATAATTGGTGAATGAAGCACGAAATATATATGCGTCACATGAATCATTCGTTTTGTGAAGGCTAAGTTACTGACGGAGTGCCCAAAACAAAACAGGTGATCTTCTTATGGGATCACACCAGGAGCCTTTGACCTACAGGTTTAATCCACAAGGCAGTGGTACAACATAAGGAGATGAGTTTACATGGCAACCGGTTACCGATAATTGGTTCATACATGCCACTTGTTCACTCGGGATCCTGGAGTCCCTGTACACCATTGGTTTGGAATCAGGGATTTCCAATCCTGTAGGTGGATTCTCCATACCCATCAACCCGGTTAAAGCATCAGTTATTCGCTTTTTGTTCTTTCGATCTCGTGAAAAACACCACCACTGCGTGATAGCAGTGAATAGAACTTCCTTGTCATTGGTAGTATGTACGTGACCAAATGAGAGTATTTCTTAAGGGAGAGCTAACTCTCCCCACTCTCGTTCGTATTAGGGCATTCAGGGGGGCTTATTATCATTGATTATTAACAATACCGCAACCTTCTCGATTATTCAATTATGAATATAACATTTTTACAAAAAATGTTATTAAAACAAAAAACAGAGGCAAATGTCTTGGAATTCATTCATATTAAACTAACTTTATTTAGTTTACATCAATTAGATCTATTCAATTGTTCAATTAATTATGAAATAAGATATAAAACACAAAATGGAATTAATGAAACAATCAACCTTTTTAGGCTTCATTAAGAAAAATTTGAAAAAGACAAAACACAATCAACTCAGATTTTCATGATAAACTAATTTACATCTAAGACCGCACTCATGGAGGAGCATAGGCCATATCAGATGCCCTGGTATGGTCGAGAATGGAGAGAGTCTGTTCTCTCGGTCTCGAAATGCTCTCATATGGCCACGCGTATATAGCCTCTGCCAAGGAAGTTCTACTCACTACCTTCTCGTGGCGGGGATGTTGTTTACAAAATTGAGAGGACAATAAGCGAATGTCTGGCGCTTTAACCGGGTCAGTGGACACGGAGAGTCCACCTAGGGGAGTTGAAAAACCTTGATTCCAAACCAGTGTTGCACATGGTGTATGAAAAAATCGTTGGTCACAGACTACCATGTGACTGCATCTCCTTTCAAAGCTCTATTGCCTTGCAGAACAGACCTTTAGATCGGAAGTTTTTAGTGTGTCCCCCTCTGAAAAATACCTGCTTCGGTTTGGGCACCCGGGCGGTATCACGGCCTCCACAAAAATCTAATGAGATTTGTGTGGCGTATATTTATCTGGTACCCCCTTTTATAAATATCTATGTGTTCAAATAAATAAAATAAATGTTCAGAATAATGTTTTCCAGTTCTTCCCAGTTTCCATTCAACTTTTACGTGTGTGATTCAAATTCTTAACGTAATGTGTCATTTGACCTTACACTTTTCCGTTTCTATTCAGAATTCCAAGTTAGTGATTGATTCATGATGCAGTTTGATGATTTCAGCAATGTTTTTCTTATACACTTTCAAAATCTCCTTATTCACTCTTCAGCTTGAAGAGTAGTTTGTCCTCTTCCAAAATCGGCTGTTGCTAATGTTGTCAACATCAACGGACATTGAATATCCTACACAGACAATTGTTTATAAATATTTGTACCTTTTTGATGATGATTGTGCTAGTTCTGGGCGTTTCAGCTCCATAGACTTAATTTATCTTGACGTTTGTATAAACGATTCTGACTTTGATATTAGCTGACAGACAGTTATCTTTAGTTCCATATCGTCTTCAAATCCAAGAATGCTGTCCTTGTTTTCCCAATCCTCTCCCTTACGGCTGTGTGTTACTTTTTCTTGGTTTCACCAAAAGTATTTGGTATTATTACAACATACACTGGTGAAATAGACCATGGAAATAATGAGAAAAATTTATTATCTAGGTGAATACTTTTAGCTTAGCGTTTTGAATGACCAATTTCAGGTTGAAGCAAGTTCGCTTAATGCTTTCTGAGGTCATAAAGATCACCTATGATCTCTGTGTGGTGATCACTGTAATGTATGTCAGGTCTTTCTTGGTGCAGACTGAATTTTATCGAACAAGTTACAATGTGACCACTCATCCGAGCGATTCTAAATTGTATTCACTATGTTGAGATACGGTCTCTAACTGGGAAGATAAATGATTCGGGAACGAATCTGTTAAAAAGTATCAGTTCCCTCAAGATAAGAGGTACACTTTGATGACAAGTGCCAAATATCACGAAACCTGAATCCTTGGTTTCCTGTTGACTACTTCCAACCACCATCTTACTTTTGAATTAAACTATCAATATTAGGGAATCCATTGTCACTGAAACAAAGTAACAACTGGCTAGAGTGATTTTATTCAATCTGGTTCTCAACATGATGTATTGCAATATACACGGTATGGTGTTCTCCATGTATAATTGCATTCAATCGAATATAGTTTATGATAATCGTACGAAGCACTTGACTGATTTAATTTTGGTACCTATCAGGTTGTATCCACAAGCAGTAATTCATTATAATTAGTTAGATATTAAATGATTTCATGTTAACAGGGTAGGGTTGTCGAGATTATTGGGTTTTTGATTGAGATCATGAACCGAACGATGTTTGATCATCATTGAATGCATGTAAGTACTGAATGGCCGTTTCGGTTTAGTATGGGACTCCTCAACAGTGCATATTCACGATCCAATTATCTAACCATGTTAATATCTAAATTCAATCCTTCTTTTTATTTGTTATGAAGCAATTGCTAACTTGATTTTTGTTTTTCTTTCCGTTTTTCTTTACCGGACGATTCAAACGTTGCATCATTTCTATTCATTAAATAAATTTTATTCTAACAGAAAAAGAATGAAAAGTTAAAAAAAAATAAAGAAAATAAGTGAAAAGAAATTCTTCTGATGGAATTATTGATTATTTTCGTTCTTGTTGTTGTTGCACTATACATCAACTTCATTGATTATGAAAAGGCATTTGACAGTGTGGATAGGAGGACGTTATGGAAACTTCTTCGACACTACGGAGTTCCTGAGAAGATTGTCAACATTATCCGGAACTCATACGACGGACTACAGTGCAAAGTCGTGCATGGAGGACAGCTGACAGATGCATTCCAAATAAGGACCGGAGTCAGACAAGGCTGTTTACTCTCTCCCTTCCTCTTTCTTCTGGTGGTCGACTGGATTATGAAGACCTCGACATCTGAAGGAAAACACGGAATTCAATGGACAGCTCAAAATCAATTAGACGATTTGGACTTCGCAGATGACCTAGCCCTCCTATCACGTACACACGAACAGATGCAGATGAAGACAGCCAGTGTAGCAGCAGTCTCTGCATCAGTAGGCCTCAGCATACACAAAGGGAAAACCAAAGTCCTCAAATTCAAAGCGGAAAACAACAATCCAATCACTCTTGATGGCGAAACTCTGGAAAATGTAGAGTCCTTCACATACCTAGGAAGCATCATCGATGAACAAGGAGGTTCAGATGCAGACGTAAAGGCAAGGATTGGCAAAGCAAGGACAGCATTCCTACAGTTAAAGAACATATGGAACTCAAAACAACTTTCAACCAATATCAAAGTGAGAATCTTCAATACCAACGTCAAGGCAGTTCTACTGTATGGAGCTGAAACTTGGAGAACTACAACAACCACCATCAAGAAGGTACAAGTATTTATAAATAGTTGTCTTCGCAAGATACTCAACATCCATTGGCCGGATACCATCAGCAATAGCCTTCTGTGGGAGAGAACAAACCAACTTCCAGCTGAAGAAGAAATTAGGAAAAGACGATGGAAATGGATAGGACATACATTACGCAAATCTTCAAACTGCATCACGAGACAAGCCCTAACTTGGAATCCTGAAGGGAAGCGAAAAAGAGGAAGGCCAAAGAACACATTGCGTCGGATAATAGAAGCAGATATGAAAACGATGAATTACAACTGGACGCAGCTAGAAAGGATTGCCCAGGACAGGGTTGGATGGAGAATGCTGGTGAGCGGCCTATGCTCCTTCACGAGGAGTAACAGGCGTAAGTAAGTAAGTAAGTTGTTGTTGTTGCTGTTGTTGTCGTTGAATAAATTCCCCACAGAGTATACTCTTAACACCAATACAGATGCTTATTCATGTTTATTCTTGTCTGTTTCCCCGCTTTTTTCTCTCTTTTTGTTCTAACTATCATCGTCCTCATCATCACCAACACCTACTCCACCACCATCATCACCACCTCCATCATCATCATCATCATCATCACCACCACCACCATCCGCCTTCAGGTTTTCTTTTTTTTGATTAATTTCTTTTTGACAATAAACATTTTCTTCATAAGGATAATTCCCTTGTGGAGAAATTTTTCAACACTGTTAAATTTTACTTAGAGATCTATATTTATGATGATGAAAAGTTTATCAGATATAAATTTACTTTCATAGATTTTGAACATTAATAAGTCAATACTAATACTATGACTACTACTAATATGAAGACGATGAGAACTACGACTAATACGACGATAGTAACTACTACTACAACAACTACTACTACTACTACTACTACTACTACTACTACTACTACTACTACTACTACTACTACTACTACTACTACTACTACTACTACTACTACTACTACTACTACTACTACTACTACTACTACTACTACTACTACTACTACTACTACTACTACTACTACTACTACTACTACTACTACTACTACTACTACTACTACTACTACTACTACTACTACTACTACTACTACTACTACTACTACTACTACTACTACTACTACTACTACTACTACTACTACTACTACTACTACTACTACTACTACTACTACTACTACTACTACTACTACTACTACTACTACTACTACTACTACTACTACTACTACTACTACTACTACTACTACTACTACTACTACTACTACTACTACTACTACTACTACTACTACTACTACTACTACTACTACTACTACTACTACTACTACTACTACTACTACTACTACTACTACTACTACTACTACTACTACTCCTACTACTACTACTACTACTACTACTACTACTACTACTACTACTACTACTACTACTACTACTACTACTACTACTACTACTACTACTACTACTACTACTACTACTACTACTACTACTACTACTACTACTACTACTACTACTACTACTACTACTACTACTACTACTACTACTACTACTACTACTACTACTACTACTACTACTACTACTACTACTACTACTACTACTACTACTACTACTACTACTACTACTACTACTACTACTACTACTACTACTACTACTACTACTACTACTACTACTACTACTACTACTACTACTACTACTACTACTACTACTACTACTACTACTACTACTACTACTACTACTACTACTACTACTACTACTACTACTACTACTACTACTACTACTACTACTACTACTACTACTACTACTACTACTACTACTACTACTACTACTACTACTACTACTACTACTACTACTACTACTACTACTACTACTACTACTACTACTACTACTACTACTACTACTACTACTACTACTACTACTACTACTACTACTACTACTACTACTACTACTACTACTACTACTACTACTACTACTACTACTACTACTACTACTACTACTACTACTACTACTACTACTACTACTACTACTACTACTACTACTACTACTACTACTACTACTACTACTACTACTACTACTACTACTACTACTACTACTACTACTACTACTACTACTACTACTACTACTACTACTACTACTACTACTACTACTACTACTACTACTACTACTACTACTACTACTACTACTACTACTACTACTACTACTACTACTACTACTACTACTACTACTACTACTACTACTACTACTACTACTACTACTACTACTACTACTACTACTACTACTACTACTGTGGTGAATGACAACACACGAGACGGAACAATCAAATGTATTTGAATACAGAATTACGCAATCCCTTGGTAATATCTGAGAACTATACATTAAGAAAATAATGCCTTATTTACAAAATATCAATCAATTGTCTCCAACTTCATTGTTCTTTCGTTGCTACATCACTCATTCTTTGTTCTTGTCCTGTTTGCTTCGATCTTCTTGATTTTCTACCGTTAGATGTTGTGACTTTCGATTGATGACACATACTACTTATATCTATCCAGATCAGTAACACTCACCATAGTATTATCAGAGTAGAGGAATTCCGTAGAATATAATGGAGTAGTAAAATCAGTTTGTTAGACGTTTAATAAAAAAACGATGTATCAATATATTGTCTATAAGCTTTAAAGCATTTCAAAACTATACACAAAAATCAATAATTCGTCAAAGATCTTTATAGTGGCCACATTGCAACATGATCGATAAAATTCGGTCTGCACTAATAAGGGCTAGAGACGCATGACATTGATCGCCACTCAGTGATCAATCATTGTGATTACATCTCAGTCTCACAGGAGGTCAGTCGCGGCTTGGATAGCTCAGTGGTAACGTCTCTGATTGTGAAGCTGGGTGACACGAAATCAAATCCGCCAGGGAGCACCAGTTTCCTCGAGATTACAGGTACATCTTTCTGATGAGTTCCAAATAGCACGAAACCCGTGTACAGGGTTTCCTGTCGACTACCTCCAACCACCATCTAATCTCAATATATAGTGCCCGCAGTGTCGAGTCATCTAAATTGGTGGCCACATTGCAACATGATCGATAGAATTCGGTCTGCAATAATAAGGACTAGACACACATGACATTGATCGTCACCCAGTAGTCAATCAATTGTGAAAATCTGAGGTTCATCAATAATGCGCATCGACGATCCTGCACATGTGATTAGAAACCAGGGTCTTCGACTTCGTGTGTGAACACTTAACTTGTGAATAACTGAGCTGGCCAGAATCCAACAGTGTTAATGTGTACCTGCAATCAATCCATGAAATTGTGCTACCATCCACCATCTATAGAAAATTAATACCACCCAGTGTAAAAAAATTGTCAATGACAAAAATAATCTACTTAGTCTTATTAATCTTAATTGTGAACGTTTTACTACTTACAAGTTGTTAGTAGTTTATTTATTGTAATCAAAGATGATTCATGTAAATCCAAGCATTTCAATATGAAGTGCGTTTGATTAGACTTCAAACTAGGCATAATCCACTGATCAAATAATCAAGTAACACAGTGGAATTAGAACCGAAATTATTTATCTGATTAGTGAAGTCTATTTAGTAACAGTTGAATTCTCACAATGGAGTTTTCCATGGTTGTCTAGCTTTAATTGATCCATGAAATCAACTATTAAAAATTACTAAAGTATCGTCGAAACTCCATCTGAACAATAACCATCATGTGCTCACTTGTGACTGGCTTCGTGAGGTATTTCCTGAAGTTCTAGGGAGAATTCGTGGTCAGTGTGGTTCAACCGTGTATGTCGTTGAGGCAGTAACTCAGTGAAAACAATGGTGGATTGTGCATTCTAATTGATTTAAGGCTCTTTCGCAGCAATAACTGTTTGTTGTGCATCTAACTTATTTGGAAAATAGTTAAGCATGTATATGACCCACCCAAATCTAGATTGTTTGTTCGGCTTTTAAAATATATGAAGGATTTGTGTATCGTACATCTAGTAATTCAATTTTTCCGCAATCTTCAGTTATCCACATAGATTGATTTCAGAGAAACTATGTCGTGGATTCCCACCTACAACTATTGTTGCCAGAACACTTTATTTACTTTGTATAATGTAATTCTCCTATCAGTCGCAACTATTTATCTGGTATATGATGGTTGGTTTGACTCCAATTGTTCTTGTGTTCTTTAGATTGTACGGTATAGATTGTAAAGATTTCTTTGGTTTTTTGCGCAAACACCTAGTTGTGGAAGACTCAAATAATTCATTTCTGTGATTTTGAAGGTGTTGTACACGTGGGATAGGATAATGAATCCATTCAGTATATTTTATGTTAATGTAGTGTTTACTGATCAGTTTGATAAGCATTGCCTGATGAAGTGTTAGAGCGTGTTCTGGTTTTCAATGTCCTGAGTATTTTCTTTGCGTTTTCGAATAAAATGACGATGCCAAAACATATCTTCATAATTTCAAGTAGCATGGAATGAATATATTATTGTCACATGACAAAATCATGAATCGGAATCCCGACATTATTGAACTAAATCTAGTCATGTATATGTTCAGGAGGCGGTAGTTACCATGATTCAAATTCTTTTTAGACCTCAATTCCGTGGATTCAAACCCTCTCCTATCTCTCGATTTGAGAAGTCAGTAACAAACCTTAACTAACAATGTCTTACAAAATCAGACGTAATTCGCAAACAGACATATTAATTTCTAAAATGGAAAATATACATGAATCAGTTGGAAGGTGGTTATGATTGGAGTGAGCCGTAAAAAACAGACCGAAAAGGGATTACGGAATGATGAATTGAATAACAATATTGAGCGAGTTTTTGGAAAGATCATGTTAAATGAAGTCATCCTCTATATGTATCTATATAATCTGGACACTTAATAAGTATACAATAGAGTGATAATCGATAGACATTCGAAGAAATAAGCTTCTCTTATGTTATCGTTTTACATTCGACGTTGACACACAATCAAATTAGACATAGAAATTCACGATTTATTTTCATAACTAAAGAGAGATGGTGCCTAACTGTGATTCATTTATGTGTATTCGATCGCAAACGCCTGAGTATCAAGATATTTTAAGTTGAATTACACTTTCACTAAAGATAAAACATTATTCAGTTTAGGTGTTATCTAAGAATCTATATATAGTTATTTGCAATGATATCTACCTAAAGCACCCATGTATTTTGTAAGTGTCAAATGATACATCTTTTCTCTATACCTTTGAACAGTATGATAGATGAAAGGTTGCATTACATCACAGGGTTGTGTAATGATAGAAATATTAGTGATGATTCCCAAATTCTTTGGAATTTCGTCGGAATAATATTGATCACATTGCCATATGTTGAAAGTAATCATTGGACACAAATCTTATTTGATTCCGTGAACACGAAAATCAAAAACTGTGTTTCATACACATAATTCCCTGTGCAGGTTATCCATGTCATGTGTGATGCTGTTGCTCATCGGAAACAATAGAGCATGGTCGCAAAATTTTGTTGAAGAGTCCCATTCTTGGATGGAACGTTCGTTGACTGCTTTTAGTTTTTCAATGTTCGTCTAACATAGTTCGATTCACCACCTCAATTAATCATAATACGTGGAATATAAGTATAATTAGTAATGGTAGAAGTCAATGATGATTAGGAGTATTTGAATCATGGCATCAACTTAGAATCTCAGAAACAACGCAATTTAACTAAGAAGTTCTAGATAAGCACGAAAGAATGTAATGTATTTGGAATTCGAATCAAGCAAGCAATCACGTACAAAAAGAATCCTTAGTTCATACAAACACCACAAAGCAGTAAACACAAAAGGAATATTTTCAATGAGTAAAGTGTGTGTTACACTTGTATGAACAGAAGAATATAGTATCGCTAAAGAATTGAAAGTAGAATTCAGACGGATAATAGAGGAAAGAAGTGAAAAGAGGAGAGAAGATAAAACGGTTAGCAACTAAAATAAGAACGGAAATGAAAGGACGATCGTGTTTGTGAAAAAAAAAATTAAAGGAAGCTAGGCAAATTATTTACATCATGTACATTTTACACGTTTCAGTTATGCAGTATGTGTATTGGCATAACTTAATAAATCTGTTTACTATTACCTACTCTCTACAATAATTACAGATATGGTATTGGTAGTGTTGATAGTGGTAGATTATCCGGTAGTTGTTAAAGTGATACAGATAGTATAATGCGTAGTAATATGTTATTTGGCATTTCAGAATCTGTAGTAGTTGTAGTTGTAGTAGGAGTGTAGTATTATGGTCTACTATGATAATAGTAGTAGTGCTCTAATAATAGACTTGAACCTAAAATTGCAGATTTGTTATGATGTAACTGCCTACTCTTTAAGATCTTACATGGAAGTCATTTTGAAACGTGTTTATTTAAAAGAGGTTGCACTTTTCTCTTTCTATCTGATGATAGATAAAGGGAATAATTTAACTAACACTTCAAAGTTTTCATTTGAATAGTTCAGTATCCATACAACTTTGATACAATTGTGGTCTGTAGAAATTATTAAATAAACGATATGAGATTACATTCACATGGTGTTGTGTTACTTGAATCTTCCCATTCTTATTTAGGGATGCAATCGATGGTTTTAGTCCCGAAGGGACCATCAATTCTGGGATTCAGTTACATCTAGATGACGAGTTTCAAAATGAACGAAACGCACGTCCTGGATTGCACTGCTAGCCACTATCCATCTTTGCTTGAGGAGAGATTACATTTTGTGTTTATCCTAATGCTTTATGATCCGTTCGTTCTTTACATGGATTGTCTGATTGAAGAAACTTGTTCTATAGTGTAAAACTCCTGCAAATATAGAATGCTCAAAACAATGTTTGGGTACACAAATAAAGGATTTGTTAACTCAGTTTTCATTAAAAATAACATTGATGTTTTGAAAAATAAAACTACAACAGGATTTTTCAACTACTTATAACATTGTAATAAGTAGTCTAAAAGCATATATATAAAATAGTAAGCTATTTAGTAAACAAACTACAAGTAAAGAAAATCCATCAATCAAATGACTTCAGAAAGACAGTAGAGAATCGAAACAGCTCATTGTTTTCTTAATAACGGTTTAAGCGAAAATCTGCGAACGGTATTTGTTTTCGTTCCCAATTTCCCTGGTACGGTCGAGAGTAAACAGCCACTGTCAGAGAAATCCTACTGACTGTTTTCTCGTAGCATTACTGTTGTTTACAAAATTGAGAAGATGAAAAGTGAATTTCCGATGTTTTAACTAGGTTGGTAGATACGAAGGA